CAAAATTTTTTTCTGACGAAACGAAACGAAACAAAATTTTTTAAAAATCGTTTCGTTAACGAAACGAAACGAAACAACCAAAATCTTACGAAACGAAACGAAACAAAACGAAACATTTTAATATTCAAAAAATTTTCAAAACTGCATTTATTTCGAAATTATTCGACCTCAAATACGTTATTAGTCGACTATGACTTATAAATGATTTAGTTATTGGTTTATTTACAACAATTGTGTCCCATAAGCCAGGCCCGTAGCAAGGAAAATTTTCGGGGAAGGGGGGGGGGGTCAATCATTTTCGAAGCCAAATTTTTGGCGACGCTTTTTTTTAAATAAAATTGAATATTTTTCAAGTAAAATTTTATTTTAAGCGCCGCAGACGAAAAATTTTAAAATTTTGAAAGGCCGTAGGCCGAAAAATTCACCATCTTGCTCCATTGCCTACCCAAATTGTCTCCATATCTCCATTTCGAGAGGAAGGCGATATAAGCTAGTGCTTCGCCGGAAGTTCCGGTTCCAGTATTTCCGCAACTCGCAATCCGCAATTTTTAAATTATGATGCGAGTCCGGTAATAGAATTTGTCGTCGATTAAGTAATATGTATATGTGGATTAGGGAGTGGAGTATAAACGGATTTGTAGTATATAAGTAATTGCTATCTTCCTTTTTCAGCGCCGCAGGCGAAAATTTTGACAATTTGGGAAAGCCAAGAAGCCGAAATTCTTTTTTTTTCAGCGCCGCAGGCGAAAATTTTTTAAATTTTCAATAAAAGATGGTAAATTTTATAGATTTTGGCCTTAGTTTAGGCTTAAAAAATTGTTTCGTTTCGTTGAAAAATCACAGGTGTTTCGTAACGAAACGAAACGAAACAAATTTAAAAGTGTTTCGTAACGAAACGAGACGAAACAGTAAAAATCATACGAAACATACGAAACAACGAAACGAAACGAAACGTTTCGCCCACGTCTGTTCCCAAACTTGAAGTTTGACCATTATGAACCATGACAATTTATGGGTGAGGGGGTTCTAATATTGAGAAATAAACACCATAATCGTGATCAGCACCCTTTATTACCCCATATATGACATTTTGGACTACTTTGAGGGGGTGTGGTATAAGGGATAAGTACCCAAAAAAACTCAAAATTTAAAAAACGCGCTAAATTTACCTGTTCAAAATTATAAGCGCACTTTGGATTTTAGTCTTTTTAACATTAGGAAAAATCTACAAAAATTCCTGTGAACATCTCCATCGATATAAAGTGAAAAAGCAAAAAGAACAAAGTCTATAACTACTTTCTTCATTGAGATATGAAAACCCCAAAATCAACGGAAAACAGGGTTACAGTAATTTAAAAAATATTTTAAACCCCTTAGAGCTTATATAAAAATTTTCTTTTAAGCCCTCCAGAAAGCCCACAAAATTTGCTACAAGATAGCCTTAATTTTATTAAGCAGAAAAAATACATTTGAGAGATATATTACATTAATCTTCCGAAGCGACCGTAAAGGGCATTTTATGGGGCATTTAGGTGTTTTCTGGAGACATGAAAATTTAACCCTTAATAACCAATCGAAATATTTTTTCTGCTAAATAAGATTAAGGCTATCTTGTAGCAAATTTCAAGGGCTATCAAATACGCCTAAATATTAATTTCAAAATAATCCATATTGGGTCGAAAATATTTTTTAAAGAGTCTTACCCCTATTTTACGCCTATTTTCAGGGCATCGAGATCTCGACATTGAAATAAGATATGGGCCTAGTTCTTATTTATTTGTTCTTAATATCGATAGATATGCTTGCTCAATTTTTTGTAGATTTTTCCTAATGTTAGAAAGACGAAAATCCAAAGTGCACTTATAATTATGAACAGGCAAATTTAGCGCGTTTATTGAAAATTTTAAATTTTTTGAATTCAATTGAACAATTTCAAAATCTTTTGGTAAAATTCCGTCATAAGTCCCGGAAACCGATTCAAACAAACAATATGTCATTTGAATGAGCTCGGCGAGCTGAGTCGAATGACACCAAAATTAGATCCCGGTCTCACCCATGGACCGAGATATAGGCCTCCGAATATCGAAAAACCATAGGGGGGACCAAGCACATTTTTGGGGTGAAAAATTCGAAAATGCAAATTATACCTCATTCGAAAGAGCTCCTCGAGCTGAGTCGAAAGACACCAAAATCAACGAAATCTGATTTGATTTAACAAAGTTATGATCGTTTGTTTTAGCTCCTTACCTTTGTTCTCCGTGGATGTTCATGCTGCTGCGGAGGAAGCCGGGCATGACATCACAGCGATAATTGGAATAGGATTAAGTTACGAGCCCAGACCCAGCGCCCGTAGACTCCCCGCGAGGCGCGTGCCGCAAAACTCCGCGCGAAGCGCGGAGTTTTGCACAAGCGCCTCGCCGCCGGCCCATAGGTTTATGTTGTTTGTTTTTTTGTCATAACTTCGAACAAACTTGACCAATCACGGCGATTTTGGTGTCATTCGACTCAGCTTAAAGAGCTCTTTCAAATGAGCTATTACTTGTATATTCTAATTTTTCACCCCAAAAATGTGCTTGGTCCCCCCTATGGTTTTTCGATTTTCGGGGGCCTATATCTCGGTCCATGGGTGAGACCGGGACCTAATTTTGGTGTCATTCGACTCAGCTTGCCGAGCTCTTTCAAATGACATATTGTTTGTATGAATCGGTTTCCGGGACTTATGACGGAATTTTTCCAATCTTTTAATATCATCATGTTTCTAATACGTTTTAGTATTTTAATTCAAAATTTGATAATATTTGGATAACTAAGCCCCGAGTTATTCAATTTTTTCAAGTGCGCTTATAATTTTGAACAGCACTGTATAGGCACAAAAAACTGCCACAATAGGCTCTACCATTTATTCACTAAAATTAAATTTCTTGTTTTGAATCCACCCAATATCTATAGTTTCGATCCTTTGGGGTTTCCAACTTAAAAATCCGTATGTTTTTACGTATCTAAAAGGTATTTAAAGAAAACAATACATTCTTCAACCAAGAAAATTTATTTTTTTTTGTCATAATACCATTAAAATAAATAAAAGTAATGGAGAGTAATTTTCATATAGTCAAATATTGAGAGTTCACATACTCACGCACGCAAAAAATATTTTTAATTCAATCAGAAATTGAAGAAGAATCAGTCGAGTCATCAACAAATTCTTTTGAGATTGGCTTTTTAATTGGGCTAGAATTTTTTGTTGATGATTTTGTAGATGGTTTTGAAGACGGTTTAGAAGAAGCCTTTGTTGCCTTTGCACTAGTTGAAGGTTCATCATCTTCATTATTACTTTCTTCATCCGATTTTTGTTTTTTGTCTTTATAAATTTTCATTTCACGCTCATAGCGCTCCTTGTCTTCCTTAGCTTTTTGTTCATAAGGCTAAAAAGGGGAAAAAATTTTTTTTAAAAACAAAAAATCCCCCCCCCCTTTCCTCACCTGTTTATCTTCAGCACTCATTTCCTTCCACATTTGACCAGCCCTAGTAGCAGTTTCAGCAATTGTATCACCCTCTTTTTTAATTTTTGAACGATTTTCTGTTTGCCATAAAAAGAAGGCTGTCTAAAAAAATATTACAAATTTTATAGTTTGAGAATAAAAAAGACTAGAGGGAGCTTATTTCAAAAATATTCCGAAGCGATAGGAGGCAAGCACGATATCTCCTCAGGAAAATAAAACTTGATCTTAATTCTTATTTTTAACTCCTATAAGCATCCTCTCTAACAGAGGTGGGTCGGAATTCCGATTTCCGACGTTTCTTCTTCCGATTTCCGAAATTTTGGAAAAATTTTCGATTTCCGACACCTCGGACTGTTCCGACCCACCTCTGCTCTTTACCAGAGTTGCAGGGGAGAATTTACTCAAATTATCTATTAAATTTACCTGATTTCTTTTTGGAGCATTCGGATCTTTCTTCTTCTTCTTTTCCTTCTTATCATTCTTTTCGCCCCCTCCTTTTTTAGATACTTTATCCTTTTTCTCCTTCCTTTCTTTTTTCTTCTTTTCACTCTTTTTTGTTGTTTTTTCAGTTTCCCCTCCTCCATCCATTAAATCATCAGAAACAGAAGCAGCAGCACTACTATCATATTCCTCATCTGGTTCAGATCCAGAACCTTCAGACGATTCCTTTTCTTTTTCACGCTTTTTCAAATCTTTCTCCATATCATAATCCTCTGTTAAAAAATTTTGATGAAGGAATTAATAGGAGTTTATGTGGGAATCAGGGTTGCCGCGGGTACAAAAAATCTTCGGATACGGGTTTCGAGTTGGAGCGTTTTCAGTTCGGGTCACGGGTTTTGGGTTGGCAAAAATATCGGGTATGGGTTTCCGGTTGGAAAATTTTATTTTCGGGTATCGGGTACAAAAAAGAAAATTTTATATTTTAAAAGGTTTTGCCCTATTCTTAAAGATAAACCAAAAATCTGACATAAAAAAGAAAATAGATAATTAAACTCCCACGTAGAGTTGTCGGTCCACCGGACTGAAGAACTGATGACTTTTCGGTTCGGTTACTCTGCTCGGGTTCGGAATCTGAAGACTTTCCAAGAACCAACAACTCTACACCCAAGTCCAACCAATCTTAGGGATTTTTTTAAAGTTTAAATAAATCCAAAAATTATTTTCCTTACCATCCTCCGAATCTGAATCAGAATTTGCAGCTCTTTCCCTAGCATCATCCTTCAATTTTTCTTTATATGGATCCAATTCTTCATCACTTGAAGCGGCAAATTTGTCTTCTTTATAAGATTTTTCACCCAAACGCTGAGCATTTCGAATTTTTAACCCTTTAGATTGGACATAGTCAAACAATTTGTTATATTCTTCCCTAAAAATTAATTGAAAATTTAATTGATAAAATATCATAAAAGAGACAATAAAAGAGAGGTAAGTTCAGACTCTGGCAGGTAGTCTGAACTCCAAGCATGCCCATAACCAGGATTTTTTTAAAGGAGGGGAGGGGAATGCTTACGGGCCTGGATCCAAGGACTTACGGCAATTATTGATAGGCTCTCTCGCTCACCATGTACAGGTCTTCTACCAAATGACAAAGCGAACTACTTTCTCTCTTTCTTTTCTCTTTTTTCTACTACCTTTCGCCTAGTAAGCGTTTTAAATATGAACTAGTTGGATTTCCCCTCCACTACTAAAACCAGGAAAAAAGAATTTAGACCAAAAGGTTCGATTTGTAGCAGATTATCTCCATAGTCTTTATCACCTATTTATATTTTTTTAGTTTAAATAAAAAATAGAAAGAACCTTATAAAATGGAGAGGACCGATCACATGTCTTTCCCCCCCCCCTAAAAAATAAAATTCAAATAAAAAAACAAACTTTCCAATATTACTAAAAGTAATAGATGTTCCACTTCTTTGTACAATTTCAAAATCAAAAGAACGTGTAGAAACATCAGAACGAGCAAAATGAACATTATCAACCTCTTCAAACCGAATATATAATGCTGGTTTGTGGACATAAACAAATCCTTTTTCTAATGGATACAAAAATCCCATAGATTGACGAACGGCACAGGAAATTGCCGGAGTGCCCGAGGCCCTGAAAAAAAATTTTTTTGAAAATTTTTTTAATTTAAAGAAAACCCTGTAAAATTTCCAGGAACAATAATTCGAGAATTAACCAGAACTCGAAATAATTTGGCAATTATTTCATAAAGATATCCACGCATATGCATATCCAATTTGTTCTGGTACTGTTGGGCAAGTTGTTCTCTAGAAATTTTAATAAATTAGAATTTTTAAAAATTAAAATTGTTGAAATAGTAAATCTAATAGGCCCTATGAGTTGATCAATAAAATGTGGAAAATTAAAAAATTTCACAGTGAATTTTACAATGGGTTAGGGATTTTATGTATCTAATACTGAGCGCGACTACAAAAAATAAGTCATGAAAATAGGATTGAAAATTAGAAAGATTTTTGGGAGAAACATGTCTGCCCGGAATTCTGCCGCAGAACGACTAGTAGGTCTTGCAAATAATCTCAATACTCGGTAGTGGAAATGAAAAGCATAAGAAATTAGAAAATTAGAAAATTAGAAAATTCGAAAATTAGAAAATGAACTGGGAGTGTCGTCTCGATGATCGCAAAAATTTTTCGTACAAGCCTCGAGATCTCGTCTCAGTCTCTACTTACAATTAGACTAAATTTTTAAATATAAATAAACAAACTCTGTCAAGCACAAATCAAGTTCAATATGATCTTCCTTCGAAAATTCCAATACAAAAAAAGGATATCTAGTCTGTCCCTGTCGAATTGGCGGATTTATGTGCAAAACAAAATACATATGCCTTCCATCCTTGTGTGAAAGTAAAAACATTCTCATAATTGTTTTTAGAGGTATTTTGTAGTCATAAGACTTTCCGTGGAAAGAAAGATGATTTGGAAAGACTTTAATTTCATAACGTCCACGAGGTGTTGCCAATAAAATATCTGGAAGTGTAACAATTGCTTGGTCTTTCTCACTTTCGACCTCGGCAAATCTCATTACTTCTTTACGGAATTCCTAAAAAAAAATTTTTTTTAATTTTTGCGGATTAAATTTGCGGACAAAAAATTTTGTCCGCAAATTTTTTGCGGACAAATAATTTTTAACAAAAATGATAAACCTCAACAATATCCTGATCCTCATTTTCTGGATCTTGTGGAATGTGAAAACGCATTTCTGTAAGTTGAACAGGAGATTCCTCATTTGCAATAAATTCAACAATAGCCTCAGACTTGCTTCCAACACAACGCATTACATTAGACAGAGGAACTTCAAAGGCTATTTTCTCGCCAATATTGAAAATTAAATTCTGTCCTAAATAATATTATATCAGTTAATTGTATGAAATAAGAAAGCAAGGCAATCAATGAGGTTCAAACCAACATAGTCTTTGAGGAGGGGAGAGGGGGATTGTCTACTGCTAGCAGTAGTAACACCAATTTCGGTACCAAAAGAAGCCTACATCCGCTTTATAGAATATCTCAAATGGGCTGCGATAGGGCGAATCGACCTGTCTTAATCAATAAACATTAGAAAAGAAAAAAAGACGGCGGCCGATGAGGTTCGAACCCACATGGCGTATGAAGGGGGAGACCAGTCTACCGCAGAACCTTAACCTTACATAGTTTCGGGCCCTCAAAAAAGTCGATAAAAGAGTCAAATCAAGCTAATAAAATAATGAGAGATGAAACCAGCCTGTCATAATCAAACAAAAAATTTAAATTAACCTTCAAATTCAGTCTCTCCATAATTCCACCCTTTCAATGAAAGGTCATTCCTCTTTAATGAAGATTCGAGCTTTGAAGAAACAAAATTTGAAATTTTATCAAAATCCTTAAAATATTTATTGTATCAATTTGCTCTATAAAATTACTTACACTTTCTTTCAACCCTCCAAACCGATGATGAACTCCTTGATTCGTTATAACCTTAATTCCAGGCTTATTTCCCAACTTTTGCCAAGCAAATTGATCAATCTCTAGAGGGCTTATAGTCATCAATTTCCCCGTTGCTTTACTTTTAAATTGGACGCCTTGCTTAGAAAACTTGAGAAATCCGTCGTTCTGAAAATTTGAAAAAAAATTGCGGACTTTTAAAATTTTGCGGACATTTCTGAAATTTGCGGACAAACTTTAATAAAATTTGCGGAGACTTTTAAAAAAATTTTGCGGAAACAAAAATATCCTTGAAAGCACACAATAAAAGCCTAGTTCCGAAGGAAAAAAAATTCCCGAAAAATAGGCCCTGACTTCAAAAATGAATATAGCTCTCCCGAACAAACCAGTGTTTTTAAATAAATTAGAGAAATATCAATTTATCAAAAATCTTTTCTCGCAATTTAATGAAACCAAGTTCGACCCCATGAGATTTCAACCCAAAAAAAAACCCAGAAAAAAATATAAATTAAACAAAAATACCAAGCCTCCCATCTCCTCTTGAAAAACATTTGCAAATTCTATAGTGTCCGCCATTGAAGAAGAAAAATAAATTTATTAATCTAAAACTTCGAATTAGCCTAACAAAAAAAAAATAAAAAATAACAAGGAAAAATTTTTTTGAAAATCCAAACTCAATTTTTAAATTTTATATACGCAAAAAATACAAGTTAAATGCACAAATCAATAAACAAACATATTAGCGAATATATGGAAATGATTTATACAAATCCTAACAAGTTGGGACGCAATTAAAGGCCTTATTACAATAAAAAGGAATGAGTTGAGGAAATATTTATGAGGAAATCAAGAATGAGCTTGTCAAAAATTGGTGTTTTTCCCAAAAAATTGATTTTTTCAAGTAAAAAACAGAACGCCAAAAATAAGTACCCTTGAATTTTCAAAAAAAATTTTCTCAAAAAAATTTCCTCAAAAAACACCAATTTAGAGATCATTATTTAGCCTAAACACCAATACAGAATATTTTTATATTTTATAAATTCTCATCAATTCACATCCATTCTTATTGTCCTCTCTCACTCAATTATCAGCTTTTTTGGGCTGTTTCATCAGTTCTTCCCTAATATTATCACATTGCTCTTCCAACATTTTATGTCGCACCAACATTTTGTAGTCGGAGAAGAAGTTGTCGAGCAAATCGTCTGGACTGGAAAATGAAAGAAAAATTTGGGGAAAATCAGAAAATTAAGTGTTTACATCAATTCGAAGAAGTCATCCACATTGTTGGCTTGCAATGCCAACTTCCTCACTTTTTCTCGCGCTTCGAATGGACTAAGCAAACTGGCAGAAGACTGAATAGAAGAGGGAATAGACTCGTTATCTGAAAAATTAAATTATTTTTGAAGAGTGAAATCCTTTAAAAAATTCACCTTCAAATGTGCTTGTTCCCATATCGTCAGTACATGTCGATCCAGTGAAGAATTCAAGCTCTTCCATTGTATGCATTGTATGGACACGTTCCCACGACCCAACAACATCAGCAACAGACACAAAATCCAAACCCCAGTCCTCATCCAAGAAGTACGACTCTTTCTGAATGGTAGTTTGAAGGCTCACTGTTTCTCTCGCTTCGGGAGCAGACCTGGGCGAAACTCAAAATTTTTTTCTGACGAAACGAAACGAAACAAAATTTTTTAAAAATCGTTTCGTTAACGAAACGAAACGAAACAACCAAAATCTTACGAAACGAAACGAAACAAAACGAAACATTTTAATATTCAAAAAATTTTCAAAACTGCATTTATTTCGAAATTATTCGACCTCAAATACGTTATTAGTCGACTATGACTTATAAATGATTTAGTTATTGGTTTATTTACAACAATTGTGTCCCATAAGCCAGGCCCGTAGCAAGGAAAATTTTCGGGGAAGGGGGGGGGGGGGTCAATCATTTTCGAAGCCAAATTTTTGGCGACGCTTTTTTTTAAATAAAATTGAATATTTTTCAAGTAAAATTTTATTTTAAGCGCCGCAGACGAAAAATTTTAAAATTTTGAAAGGCCGTAGGCCAAAAAATTCACCATCTTGCTCCATTGCCTACCCAAATTGTCTCCATATCTCCATTTCGAGAGGAAGGCGATATAAGCTAGTGCTTCGCCGGAAGTTCCGGTTCCAGTATTTCCGCAACTCGCAATCCGCAATTTTTAAATTATGATGCGAGTCCGGTAATAGAATTTGTCGTCGATTAAGTAATATGTATATGTGGATTAGGGAGTGGAGTATAAACGGATTTGTAGTATATAAGTAATTGCTATCTTCCTTTTTCAGCGCCGCAGGCGAAAATTTTGACAATTTGGGAAAGCCAAGAAGCCGAAATTCTTTTTTTTTCAGCGCCGCAGGCGAAAATTTTTTAAATTTTCAATAAAAGATGGTAAATTTTATAGATTTTGGCCTTAGTTTAGGCTTAAAAAATTGTTTCGTTTCGTTGAAAAATCACAGGTGTTTCGTAACGAAACGAAACGAAACAAATTTAAAAGTGTTTCGTAACGAAACGAGACGAAACAGTAAAAATCATACGAAACATACGAAACAACGAAACGAAACGAAACGTTTCGCCCACGTCTGTTCGGGAGGACTAAACAGAAAACTGACAGAAGACTGAATAGAAGAGGGAACAGACTCCGTATCTGAAAATTGAATTGAAAAGATTTTTGAGAAGAAAAACCTTTGAAAATTTCACCTTCAAACGCATTTGTTCCCGAATCGCCAGTAGACGCCGATCTAGTTGACTGGCCAAAGTAGTCATCAGAAGACGATGTCAAATTGCTGGCTTCAGCCTTGTCGCTTCCACCTCCTGCGGTTACAGCATCAAGTGAAGTAGGAGGAAGGTAGTCGTAGGACCTGACAGCAAGACGTTGTTTAGAGCAAGCAGGACGATCAATGGCCTCATCGCAGTACACAGACGCTTAAAAATGTTTTAACAGATCATTTCGAATAACGATTTTTACAGCTTACATTGTTCCTCATCATCGTGCTTCCCCACAGTTTCCATCTTGGATTTTGCAGAGAAGGTCGGATGTTTGTAGCCCATCATAGCATCTTGGTCGGCAAGTAGTTTCATATACTCAGGAGAAAACTCGAAGAAAGCTTCGCAGGATTTTGTATGCTGACAGCCATAAGAGCAATTATATTGCGAGCTTGGACGATCACACCACTCCTCCTTCGGAAACATCTTCCTGTCGTTGAGAAGTTCTTCCGCGCTCCGCATCTGGATCCGTTCGATAATACCCCCTAAAAATAATAAGGCTTTAAACAAATTGGTTAGTGAATGGATCTTACATCCTAAACGCTTTAGGCACTCCTCCCAAAAAGCCTCCCTCCTTTGGAAGAAGCTAAGCTGTTCTTTCTGCTCCTCCTTCTGCACAGATTGAGTCGGCACATCCTTCGCGGTCGTCCGATTGTCGAATCGTTGACGCAATTCCAGCATGACACTCGTCAGATCTGCTGTCGTTTGCAGTTGTTGTTGCTTCGGGTCGAGCTCGGCAAGATGTTGGTCAGAGCAAGCAGGCTGATCAATGGCCTCATCGCAGTGCTTAGGCGCTTAAAAATATGTTATAGGATTAGTAAATTCTAGGCTCGCTTACATTTCTCTTTACCATCAAGCTTCTCCATGGCTTCCCGCTTGGACTTGTTTTTCAAGAAATCCGGAGTTTCGGGATCCATTTTAACAGCAAGCTTCTTCAGTTTAGGAGAATACACGAAAAGGGATGGGCAGGATTTGGTATGCTGACGGCAATAAAAGCAATCAGGCCAAAAGCGAAATCTTTCTGAACAATCACACAACTTCCCCTCTGGAAATTTGTTCCAGTTGTCGAGAAGTTCTGTCTCACTGCACATCTCGATCTTGGAGAAAATGTCCCCTAAAAATAATAATTTAAACAGACTAGCTGGTGAATGGATCTTACATCCTAAACGCTTCTTACACTTCCTCCGAAAAGCATTCCTTCTCTGAAGATAGCTACGCTGCTTTTTCTGCTCCTTCTTCTGCACAGGCTGAACTGGCACATCGTTCGGGTTCGTCGGTTTGTTGAATCGTTGACGCAATTCCTGCATGACGCTCGCAAGTTCTCCTGCTGTCGTTTGCGGCTGTTGTTGCTTTGGATGACAGCAGTTGTGTGTTGGAGACGACATTGTAGTTTAGTCCTGTCGATGAGTGGCGTGGTAAGGGGCAAAGGAAGATATTGAACATTTCAATAAAACTGCTTTTATATCCCCTCTACGTTTCTTTGCTTGAAATTTCGCAGTTTTTTCTTGAGAATATACTATAAAAGACCCCCAACTTATTCACTTCCAACACCTCTACAAAACAATCATCACAACTTTTCAAACATCTGCATCATCTACACAAACAATTCTTCATGCTCGGCCTTCTTCCATTGGAGCTCGACACCGGACCCTGGACCAGAAAGTCGTCAACGCTGTGCTCTCTGCTGCTGCTGCTCACCATCGCCGCATTTGCAGTTCTCGGACAGGGCAACAGCGAAATAGTCGGATTCGGCAAGCACACAAAGGATGGAAACGACCAAGTGACGCTCACCGCTTACACCATAATTGCCAACAAGACGAACTTCGACCTTGCTAGTTATAACTTCAAGGAGCTGTATCAGGACGCCTGCGATGTTACAGTCGAAGAAAAATACATGTGAGGACTTTGTTATTTTTTAAAGGCTAATCGTAACTAACATTTTATTTCAATTTCAGCGAGCTTCGGTACAACAAAGGCAGCAAAGGATGCACTGTGGACCTGCTCAGCACCAACGCGGACAACAGCAACAAGATCAAGTTCAAGACCGGAGTGCGAGGAGACGCAAAAGGAGGACTCAACACTTGCCTCGGAGTAGGTTCCGGTATCGATGACAGCTATAACAACATGTGAGTTTTTACCCCCTTACATATTTTATTTGATAGTTAATTTACGCTAATTTTATAGTCTGCCTTTCGTCTACAGCGTCGACAACAAGGTCATAGAAGATCTCAACAACCGTCAATACAACGATACAAGAGCAGAGTGTAAAACAAATGCTTGCGGACGCTTTGGTGGAAAATGCAGATGGCACACATCACTTCAAGTCTCATGGAGCCAATCGGATGGAGAGGTCTATGCTCACACATATCTAAGTAAGAGGCCTGTTTGTTTTTATTTTTTAAAATCATTTTATAGTTGGTGAAAATAACAAAGGCTTGAGTCAGTTTAAGAAGCCGGAGGGTGAGAGTATGACCCTAGATTTGGTGATAAGTACTGCAAGCGGATTCACGATGGAGTATAAAGACGTCGAGCCATTTAACGCTAAGAAAGCTGAATGTGTTCCAGAGTCAGCTCCTCTCTTCGAACCCAAGGCATGGAACATCACGGAAGGTGATTACAAGAACAAACATCTGCTCGTCTTCAGCCTGCTTCGACAAAACGCAGCTTTAAAGTACGACGGAAACAACTTGGCAGAACCTCCAAATGGACCGAAGTGTGAACTCTTCGTTCAGTTTGTGAGTTTTTCAATTTTAAGACCTCTTTTTTTGATCCTAATATCTTTGTGACCCTCCTAATAATTTCGTTTTTCCTAGGATGCAAACGACTACAAGATGCTCATTGTACACATTCCAACGACAACGCCACCGACTACTTCAACGACCACGGAGGATCCGCCAACGGAAACATCAGACACGACTGAAACGACAGCTGATTCTTCATCCGCAACTCCGCCTACGACCGACAACGGCTCCACTTCCATCAAAACGACATCTCGAACAACGACAAAGCCCCCGGAACAACAAGAGCGTGGCGGAGGTCTCTACAGTTCAATTGGCATTGCTGCTGCTGGCCTCTCTGTCGGGATCGTCATTGCAGTTTTGGTCTGGTTCTGGATGAAGGACAAGGCAGAAAAGGATAAGAGAAAGTGGAAGCAGGATGCCGAACGCGCAGAAGAAAAACGACAACTTGCTCTGTACAAGGCTGAAGTGAAGATCAGAGGCAAAAAGGCCGTCGGGACATTTGATGTTTGGAAAAAGAATGTGAGTTTAAAAATTGAGAAAATACATTTAATCAACCTTCTTTTCCCATTTTTTCAGAGAAAGGAGAGTGATGAAACGACTGCGTTTGAGATGGGTTCAGTCGACGACATGATCGCTGTAATCTGGAAGAGAGTGGAGAAAGAACACGCCAAAGCCAAGATGCAGTTCCTTGTAGACCAGTTCGAGAAGCACAGGGACAACGAGGTCTACGCCCGCGAATATCAACCGGAAAGGTCTAAAAAGGGATATGATGCCGTTGGGGATTTCCTGTATTGGAAAAGGGTGAGAAAAAAAATTTTTAAATGTAACTAGTCATTTTTAACTTTCAGATGAAGAAAATCTATCCGTTCGAAGTGATCGATGGAACATCAACTGCGCTTGAATATGGGGCGGGAAAGAAGCCATATGATAAGCCGTATCTTCCCGGGGCCGTTGATGAGTCGATTCCAGAAACTGAATAGGGAGGAGGAGTTTGGCCCGGAAGTTGTGTGAAGGTGACGCTCGAGATATAAAAATGTGTGATTATCTATATATTGTTCCTTTGCTATGTTCCCCCCAATATATTGTTCACATTGTTCCCCCCAATATATTGTTTAAATTGTATGTATTGTATATTTCTTGTTGTTTGTATTGTATTTGAATTGTTGTATTCAATTGTATTTTTGTGTGTGTAAATAAATTGTTGTGTTTGTGTTGCTTTATGGACTCGAAAAATTAGGAAATACTCCCCTATCTTAATTATCTACAAACTGAACAAAAAATCCACTCGCGATTTGAAAAAAGAGATCTAACAGGGGTGTACGAGTCTCGCGTTTCGCATTTTGCGGATTTTCGCGTTTTTGGACTTTTGGATTTCGCGTCTGTTTCGGCACAACCCTGATATCTAACTAGGATCCCCGATCCTCGACAATCCATTCCCCAACATACGCGTTTTCCGAAAAGGTTCTTCCCGACGGGTCGAGACAACCCCTAAATCTAAAAATAAGTGTGTTTTAAAAGACATTTTAGGCTTCCAAAAAAGACTTGGAATTTTATACAACCCCTAAGGCTGGAAAATAGATAAAAAGATATTTGTTCATTTTTAGTTCATTTTGACTTTTGTTTTATTTTTCCAATTTCCAAAATTATTTTTTTTAATTTTCCCTTCATTTTAGAACGTGGTGGAAAAAATATTTTGTGTGTAAACTTGGACATTATTATAACCAATTAAAGCACTCTATCTATACTTGTATAGCTTGCGCAACGAAAATCACCAAAAATATTTTCAACGGAAATCCCGCTGTGGAAAATAAAACCTTTCCTAATGGCCAAAGTTTTTGTTTAAAAAATAAGGGGACAATAGGTGTTGAAAAAATATTGTGTTGGAAGGGTTTAGGTAAATAAACAAAACAAACAAACTCTTAATAAAATTCATCCGGAAAAGTGTGAAAACACATTAGCATAAAAGTAAGGTTTATTTTTCCTATTTTCTTTCGTTTCCGGAAAGGTTGGACGAATATTTGAATAATATTGGAAGGAGTGTATTTTATTGGGTAAACCTCAACTGACTTAAGACTCAACTGAATCCGGGCCCTATAACTTTTGAAAGATTCAACATTTCTTAATATTATTAGTACCATTGGATAGAGAATTAAATAGGCTACAAGATACCAAAAAATCAGAATTATTGACCAACTGTTAAAAAAGTTATGATCGATAACGTACCGAAAAATCACATTGTTTTTGAAAAAAGATTCTTTAGATTCAAAAAATTTTTTTATCAATCAGCCAATAATTCTGATTTTTTGCTATATTGTAGTGTATTCAATTCTCTATACGTTGGTGCCAAGAAAATTAAAAAGTAACAACACCTTCCTGAGTTATAGGTCAAAGAGTCAGTTGAACTCTTCTTGATATTTTCCTATAAAAACCGGAAATGGAAATTATTTATTTTCTGTTCCGGAAAAGGTTGGAATATTTAAATAACACTTAAAAAGCGTATTTCTCCTATAAAAACCGGAGAGTTTATTTTTATTTTTTCCGGATTTAGTTAAAAATAATTTTAAAGCTATTCGGAATAAGGGTTGGTAAAAAGGACGTTAATTAATGGAAAATTTTTATAAAAATAATTTTTAAAAAATAAAAAAATTTTCTCAAACCCCTTTTTTCCACTTTTCTACCTTGTTGACTCCAATTAATCTTTTCAAGTTTAATAATTTTTCAGGTCAAAAAAGGCAATCTCTACTTAATTTTTGTAACAATTCTCTTGACCCCACACAACTTTCGCGCAAACAAACAAACAAAAAAAATAATTTTTTACTTAAAGCTTAATTTTATTTTCTCTTGAGAGGGAAAAAAAGAGAATGTTGAAGATCGCGCACTCCCCTTAATTTTTTTTCTTTTTTATTTTCTATTTAAGGGAGGGGAACAGTTGACTGTAGAAGGGAGAGGAGAAAGGTAGAGGAATTTGTTCTCTCGACAAAAAAATTTTTTTTATTAAGAGAGGAAGGAACGGAGGGGAAAGTAACCAACCTCAAAAATGTTTGTTTTTGGATAACAAAAATAAAAAAAAATTTTCTTAGTCAAGAGTATTTTCCTTCTTCTCTAACAAATAAGGTAAACAATGGAACTTTCTTCCCGTTCACTTCCCTTTTTTCTCATTCACTTTAAAATTACTAAACCCCTCTATTTTTGTTTAATTCACACGATTTTTAATGAAAAAAGTAATTTTAACAAATAAAAAATTTTTTGTGACAAAATGGTCAATTTTTGCCTTGGTGACGAAATGGCATGATTCAAGCAAATTTTAAGGGTTTTGAGGAAAAATTTGAAAAGAAAATTTATTCAAAAAATAATAAAGTAAAAGCTATATATTTTTCAAAAGGTATGAGATGTGAAATTTGAAAAGGCAACAAAACGCCAAAAAAAATTTTTTTTTGATTTTCGAAAAAAAATTTTTTTTTAATTTTCAAAAAAATATTTTTTTTTATTTTTTTTCAAAAAAAATTTTTTTTGACGTTAAAAAAATTTTTCTGGAATTTACAATTGGACAAAAAAATAAAAAAAAATTTTTTTAAGTAAAATAAAAAAATTGTACATATAAATAAAATTTTCAATTTGCGGCTCCATTTTTATTTAATAATAAAATTTGATTTGGAATATTAACACCTCCAATAGAAAAAATATTTGCTGAATTATTACTCCTTTCTTCTCCCGATAAATTTTTATTTTGTTGTAATACTTCATTTTTAATTCCCAACATTACGCCAAAACGAAGGAAGAGGCCTTGAAAAAAAATTTTTTTTATTAGATGAGACTCTAGTGGACCTTTTGGAATTTTGAGGTCTCCAAATTATCCCAGCTTCTGAACAAAAAGGAACGAGAGAAAGGAGACAAATGAGAGGGTCTTTAAAATTATCCCAGCCTTGGAACTGAAAACTGATTGTGAGATAATTTGGATAAGTCCCAGTTTCTTGGGATAAGTCACAGTCTCATGTTATATTCCTAGGGAGAAGTCCCAGGTTTATAAAGTAAAGTCCAAATAAAATCCCAAAATCCCATTACAATTATTCCTTAAACCGCACGTTATCTAACTTGCCCTAGCTTCGGAACAAGAAAACAGATGAGAAAGGAGGCAAATGAGAGGTCTTTCAAATTATCCTGGGAACTGAAAACTAAGAGATAATTGGGACAAGTAACAGATTCGTGGGAAGTCACAGCAAAATCTCATGTCTCTCTCTCCCAGGGAAGTCCTAGGTTATATATTACAGTTATCCCATAAACCTCCCAATTATCCCCCACATTCTCCAGCCTATCCCAGCTTTTTTAAATTTAATTTTTTACTTCTAATCCGTTCAAGTTCAGTACGTGTTTCAACCAATTCTCTTTCTTTTTCTATTAAACGTTGTTTTTCTAATAAACAATTTTGGCAATTAAAAGAAGACGAAAATTGGGGGTGTTGGGGAGGAAAATTAAAATGTTGTTGTTGTTGTTGAATTGAAGAATTAAATTGTTCAGAAATTGAGTTTGGGGGAAAATCGGTTGAAGTAGTTGAGGAACAAGCTGATGATGCTGAAGAGGAGCATAATGAAGAGGAAGAGGAAGGGCATATTACTGGTGATGTTTTTTGTGGGCTAAAAAGAAGGGGAAAGTGTGATAAGCCAAAGGAAGTAAAAAATAGGAGCTCTCTCCTATGCACTTATCCCGATTGGAATTAAAGGAAGGGTGATAAGATAGAGGGGATATTCCAAACTCCAATTCTTCGCAGAGATATCCCAAATAAACACCCAAATCCCAACTCCAAGTCATCCCATTCACATACCCCCATGTTATGAGTTATTCCAAATTTATGTGTGATAAGATAAAGAGGTCCAATTATTATGCAATTTTCTGTGATAAGGTAAGAGAGGTCCACTTATTATGAAATAGCTAGTTCAGAAGATGTGTCTCTGAATTATCCTCCCAACTTCCAGTTTTATCCCAAATACTTCCAAGTTATTCATCTCTTCATACCCCATGTTCCAAGTTATTTCGAATATCTGTGTGATAATATAGGAAAAGTCTAGTCTCTTATAACCACAAAAACCTCTATATAACAACCCCTAAAATTAAAATAATTACCTAGCTGAAGAAAAATAGGCATCAGCAGCTAATAATTGTAAAATTGGATATTTAGACAAATCATTTAAATTATCAAAAATAGGTAGAAGAGGAGGAGGTTTTGAAGGGTTTTCTTCAATTTTTATTAATTCCTCATTTTTATTTTCTTTTAAATGCATTAATGTCCGATGGTAGATATAGGCACTCTAAAATTTGGAAAATTAAATAAATTTTATGAGACTCTAGTGTACCTATTAGAATTTTAAGTAGAAATCGGTAAGATCGCATTCACGGGATCCCGTAACGGGATTCTTTTCAAAAAATTTTACGGGACAGGATCCCGCGTGATTAATCCCGTAAATCCCGAAAATCCCGTTCGTCGCTTAAAATACGGGATTTCGGGACAGGATCCCGTAAAATCCCGTATGGGATCCTGTCCTGTACCGGCCTCTAATTTTAAGGCTTATCCTGGCTTCGGAACAACGAAAAAGGAATAGATTAGAGGGCAGATAAAAAGAGAGCTCTAATGTACCTAAGTCTCTCTCTAAGGTCTTCAGGGATTATCATTCAATTTTTAAATTCTCGTATACGAGCCCTAATTTGTCCCACTCAATAAAATCCGCCAATTCGTCCCACTGACTAAAAACCACCAATTCGTCCCACTGAATAAAAATCCCCAGTTCGTCCCATTGAATAAAAATACCAATTCGTCCCAATGAACAAAAACCACTAATTCGTCCCACTGGATAAAATCCCCAATTCGTCCCACTGACTAAAAATCCCAATTCGTCCCAACCTCAATTCGTCCCACCCCAAAAATTAAAACAAAATTCTCACTTGATTGGTAAATTTTTGTGGGCACAAATTGCACGAAAAAATGGGTTGTTGTAATTGTTCATTATTTTGATTATTAATTATTCCATTACAATTTAAAAAGGCAGAAAATAAATTTTTATTTTGTTGTTGTTGTTTTTGTATTGCTAATAAATAATTTAAACGATTTAAATTTAATTGTTGTTGTTGTAAGGGGGGTAATTGTTGTTGGTGGGGTATTGGGGGTATATTAATTGATGGGGAAGGTTGGTAAATTATTGGAGAGGAAGTTGGAGGTTTTGAATTTATTGGAGATGAAGATATTGAAACGTTTAAAGCCTTTAAAATGGAAAGGGGAAAGAATTAAAATTTAAAAAAATTTATTGGGTTGATGGTTAATTTCGAAACTATCTGGAGCCCATAAAACAATCAAATGGGAACCTAAAAATGTAAAATTTTGTATTGATAACACTGATTGGAGTTTTTATGTTCCTTAAAAATTGAGAATTTGATCCCTAAGGACTACTCCGACATTTTCAAGTAAACTAGTAAATACTCATTAAGATTAAAGATACAACTCATTCTTACTATAAAAGCCCCGACATCCTATTCATTTCCACCGACCCTACAAAACAATCATCACATCTCTTCAAACGTCTACATCGTCTACAACACTCTACATGCTCTGCCTTCTTCCATTGGAGCTCGACACCGGACCCTGGACCAAGAAGCCGTCAACGCTGTGCTCTCTGCTGCTGCTGCTCACCATCGCCGCACTTGCAGTTCTTGGACAGGACAAAAGCGAAGAAGTCGGATTCGGCAAGCACACAAAGGATGGCAACAAAGTGACGCTCGCCGACGACACCGTAATTGCCAACAGGGCAAACATCGACGACCTTGCTGATTGTAACTTCAGGAAGCTGTATCCGGACGCCTGCGATGTTATAATCGAAGACGACTACATGTGAGGACTTTTTTTAAATTCTTTTTAAAGTTAGTCATAAACTTATTTCAATTTCAGCGAGCTTCGGTACAACTATGGCAGCAAAGGATGCACTGTGGATCTTCTCAGCAGGGACGAGTCAAACAGCAACACCATCAAGTTCACGGCCGGAGTGCGGGACCGAAAAGGAAGACTCAACAAATGCCTCGACGATGTTGCCAATTTCGACAAAAGTTATAATAATATGTAAGTTTCTTTCGACTAGGTAATTATAATAAATAAACTCCCTCCCCTCAAATTTTAAGCCTGCCTTTCGTCTACAGCGTGAACAACAAAGACATCGAAAAGCTCAATAATCGCCAGTACGATGGATCTGGCGCAGATTGCAACAAAGAAATGTGTTTTACATGCATGCCGCCGACATCACTTGAAGTTTCATGGAGCGGAGGTATGGGACAAGTCTATGCCTTCACACATCTAAGTGAGTTTATTTTTTAATATTTTTATTTGAAAATACTTTTCAGTCGGGGAAGTGGTGGACCAAAGAGTGAAACAGTACCAGCCCATGGATAAACAACGATCTAGCATGACCTTCGATCTGACAATAAACTCTGCGAGCGCGTTCACGATGAACTTCTCGAAACCAGAGCTCTTCAACGCCGCGGATAATGCTGTTTGCGTTCCAAAGGACACTCAAATCGTTAAACCTGAAACATGGAAGATCACGAATGGTGGGGAGGAGCTCATTGATAAACGACTGCTTGTCTTCAGCCTGCTTCGACAAAATGCGACTTTTGTGTACACTGATAGTGGTAAAATCGGCGGACATCCAAACGGACCGGATTGCGAACTCTTCGTCAGATTCGTGAGTTTTCGATTTTTTACCTTTATGCAGCCTTTTTTGTATAACTTTCCACCAATCTTATTTTTTCAGGCTACAACCGAATACAGCCTGCTCGTTGTCAACACCTCTGCAACAACAGCGCCACCGACTACGACGACTACTGCAGCGACCACAGGAGCTCCAACAACGGGAACATCAGAGACTGGAACGACAACATCTTCATCGACAATTTCGCCTACGACCGCCAACAACTTCACTTCCATCAGAACAACTTCTCAAGCAGCGACAAAGTGCCCGGAACAACGGGAGGAGTGTGGCGGAGCTCCCTACCTTGCGATTGGCATTGCTGCTGCTGTTGGCCTCTTTGTCGGGATCGTCATTGCAGTTTTGGTCTGGATCAAGAACAAGGCAGGAAAGGATACGAAAAAGGGAGGGAAGCAGGACGCCGAGCGTGCAGAAGAAGATCGTCTGCTTGCGCTGTACAAGGCTGAGGAGAAGACCAAAGGCAAAAAGGCTGTCGGGACATTTGCTGCATGGAAAAAGAATGTGAGTTTAAAAATTTGGGAAATATGTACATTTAATCAGACCTAAATTTCCCCATTTTTTCAGAGAAAGGAGAGCGAAACGAAGACTGCGGTGGGGCTGCCTTCAATCGAGGACGAGATCGCCGCAATCTGGAAGAAAGTGGAGAAGAAAAAGGCCATGGACAAGTTGCAGTACCTTGTGGATCAGTTCGAGAAGCAGAAGGAAAAAGAACTCTTCGAGCGGGAATACACGCCGGAACTGAAAAAGAAGGGACTTGCAGCTGTTGGGTCTTTCGAGAAGTGGAAAAAGGTGAAATTTTAAACATTTTTTTCTCTCTGAATCTCAGCTAATCCTCCCAATTTTTATTTTCAGAGCAAGAACATTGCGGCGACGTTCACCTTGAACGATGGGACAAGGACGGCGATTGAACACGAGCAGCCAAAGGTCATCGAGAAGATCGTCAAGAAGGCTGAGAAGTCGACAATCGAGGAGGGGCCGACAATTGAGGAGAGGGAGATAAAGGAGGCGAATAGAGGCGCTGTGGACGGTGTTGATGTTCCAAAGACTGAGGAGGAGGTTGATGATGGGTGGATTCCGCCGGAACAGAATAATAACCCGAGAGAGGAGATATAGTTGTGATAAATTTGTGTCACCATATATTGCTCTCATTGTATGTATGTATTGTATATTTCTTGTTGTTTGTATTGTATTTGAATTGTTGTATTCAATTGTATTTTTGTGTGTAGATAAATTGTTGTGTTTGTATTGTTTATTTGATTCGATAAATTAGGGAAAGTTTACTTCCATTTTAGTCCATATTTACTATTACCAAACTTAGAAAATTTTTCCAGATTTCTACTAGGGGGATGGCGAAGGGGACTTTCATTCTAGAAGATCTCTATCTAATTTTTCTAGTCAAATAGGTTCACAAAGAAACATAACTATTTAAGTCTTACCGATATCAAATCTTACCGATATTGGTATAGTTCGACCGAGCTCTAAGAACTCTTCCGAATGATGTGATAAATTATAGATGAAGTAAAAAAGCTCAAAAAGGTATGGGATGTTGAAAGGAAAAATAGGGGGGGGGAAGATCTGAACCAAAGATTTGTACAAAATTTAAACAGCCCAAGTCTTTATTTGATTGTTTTATTGCGTCGTGTCCGTACGCACTAGGGACACTTGTTCTCTACAGACTACTACCTATATATTTTTTTTCTAAAATTCATAAAATAAATAATTTATGGCTCCAATTTTGACAGATTCACTACTTTCTCTCTATTTAGATTTAAAATAGCCATATTTAAATTCAAAAATTTTTAAAAAATGGTCAGGACTCACTTGGTCATTTCCCCCAATTTTCTCATTTTTCCGCACAAATTCATTATACTGTTCATTATTGCTTTCCTCTTCATTTTTAAAGGTTAACGAAGGCTTTTTAAGTGGAATTTCATTTTCTTCAATATTTGTGGAGTTATTAAAGAAAGGTTCTCTACGCTTGGAGGGCCTTAAAGAAAATTAAAAAAAATTTTTTTTTAATTTTTGAAATTTTTAAAATTTTCCCACACCTTTTATTCCTTCTAATAACATTTGCTGACGATCTTTTACAATTTAAAATATGCCCCTCCAGCTCAACTTCTTGTTGAAAACACTTTGAACATCTCCCACAGACAAAACTTCGGTCAGTATGAATTTTTAAGTGGCGATTTAAATCTTTAAAAAATTTAAAATTTTAAAGAACAAATAAAATTAAAATTACCAAATTTAAAAATGAAAGTTTTAGAACATAGAGAGCATTTATGTGGCCTTCCACCTTTGTGTATCATTAAATGTTGTGTTAAATGACCTTTTTGGAAAAATGCCTGGAAAAAGAAATTAAAAGGAATACAAAAATAATAATTTTTGTTTGCAACGTGTGTGGCCGAGTTGGTAGTGTTACCGACTTGGTTCTAGGTGGGTCGGGGTTCGATACCGTTTGGGGTATTTTCACAGTAAAGTTTTTTTCTTGTTCATTTAAACTGTACTTTATTCAATTAAAAGGTATTTTACGTGAAAAAAAATTTTTTTAACTTTTAAAAATTTTTTGGAAGTCCTAAGAATTAATTTTCTTATTATACCAAAAATAATTTAATAGATACAGTAATTTTTTTCTCTACCTTTCCACAACTGGGGCAAACATGCGAACGTTCTCCAGTATGCCACATTGTATGCTTTTTTAATAATTGTCTTGTGCCAAATTCTTTGCCACATTTTTCTAAAAAATTAAAAAAAATTTTTAAATTGATTCAAAATGTTTTTTGTTAAAAGGACATTTGAGTCGAGACATGGAAAACTTAAATCGCTATAACTTTTGAATAAAAAGTCCGAGTCTTGCGAAATTGATATCATTCGATAGAGCAGAAAATTTGCTATAAAACATAGAAAATCGAAAAAAATTAAGGTTGAAGAAAAAAGCGGTTAAAGCCGAAAAACTAACATTTTTAAACGATTTTTGGAGATTTTGAATTATAACTTAATTGAACATTTAAATTAAATTTTCATTTAAATTTCATTTTATAGCAAATTTAATTCTCCATCGAATGATACCAAAAACATCTAAAAATATCAATTCCTTCAAAAGTTATGGTCAAAAATAATAACCCCACTTCCCCACCCGTCTCATACTCAACTGTCCCCCAACAAATAAATAAACTTGAAACCTACCACATTGATGAGGTTGTTCTCCCGAATGAACACGTAAATGTGTTGCCAATTCCCTTTTAACACTAAACAAAGCCCCACACTGATTACAACAATATTGAGGTCTGTCTCTATGGGTGTTTGTATTGTGTAGTTCTAAATGTTCGCGGCTTGTAAAAGTTTTGCCCCCAGGGCATTTTTTGCAGGTTAAATCGGCCAATTTATTTATTATTGTTAAATTTGGGGGAGGAATAGAGAAGGCGCTAGAGGGGGAGGTTGATAAATTGGAAGAATTTAAAAGGTGTTGTTGTTGTTCGACTTCTGATTGGTCAAAGACTGTTTCTGGTTGTTGAATGATCTGTTGCTTAAAATTAAAATAAATTTAAACTTTGTTTTGTAAGAAAAAGTTTTAAAAATTCAAGTTTTAAAATTAGGTATGTTTTAATTTTCTAAAATACTTTATAAACTTAAAATAGCCACCTTTCTAAAAAATGACAATTCAGTACAGGCACTACAACTCGAGAATGGGTGGTCCCTTTTTAGTGAATTTGGTAACATTCGATAGAGAATTAAATTTGCTATAAGATAAAAAAGAATGATAATTTTAACAAAAGCAAACAAAAAATTAGGGATTTTAAAGTTGAAACCCCTCAAAAATGTCATATTTCTGTTCACAACTTTTTTAATTAACCATCTAAAATTTTATTTTTAACTTGATTAAGTAGCAAATTCAATTCTCTATCGAATGGTGCCAAAATTATTGGAATAGGTCTACATGTTCTTAAGTTATGAAGCTGGAAATGAGACGCACTCGATACCCTGTTATCCCTAGCTTTTCAAAATTTCAGAAAAAAAAATCAGAAGAAATTCTGATTTTTTTATTATTCTGATTTTCTGATTCTGATTTATTTTTTTCTAATATTCTGATTTTCTGACTTTTTTCTGATTTTTATATTTCCCTGAGACGCACTCAATACCCTGTTATCATTAGTTCACCTACACATTTCAGAATAAAAAATCAGAAGAAATTCTGACTTATTTTTCAGAATTATTTTTTCTGATTTTTTATTATTCTGATTTTCTGACCTTTTTTCTGACCTTGTTCTGATTTTTATATTCCCCAAATAAAATATTTTTTTAACCCACCTCCTTTTCATTATTCTCTTCAATCTTTACATTTTCCTTCATTTTCAACTTATTTTCATTCCCCTGATGTTCATCACGCATATGTTGATCCAACAATTCCATAGAATGAAAAGATGTACGTGGACATAAATTACATAAATAGGCACAACAATAATTAGTATTTAATTGTAAAGGAAGTGGAGAAGAAGAAATTGTTGTTGTCTCTGTTTCTGTTGTTGCTTCCATTTAAATATTTTTAAAAATTTTCTATGAAATATTTAATTATACATACATATTTTTAATTTTGTTAAGGAATCATCATTAG